CCTGCTGAGTTACAGGACTTGGAAGGTGTTCTCGCTGTCCAACTGCACCTCTGTGACCAGATGAGGTTTGATCAGGATGCTAAGATTGTTCTATGATGGAAGAATGATCTTTTAAACAAGAGATGTTGGGGAAATGGGATATCCAGGCAAAAGAATGAAGTTAAGCCTTCAGCTAACATCATATAAAAGCCAACTCTAAATGGATCAAAGACCTAAAATGGATCAGAGCTGAAACCCATCAGACTTTCAGGAGACAGGGTGAAAGCGTCTTGAAGCTGAACTTGTCCTGGTTTCTTTGTTATGATGCCAGATGCATAGGCAGCAACAAAATAGATAAATTGGATTTTAGCAAAATTGAAAATGTGGATCAGATGATGTTATCGGTCATGTGACCCAGCAGGTCTCTGCGGCATTTTTCACAATAATCAAGGACAGTAATTGTCTATCTGTGGATGAGTAAGTAAAGAGAATGTGCTGTCTATTCTCATGGCTGTGCTTTTAAACCTTTTAAAAGAAGGTGGTTCTGTCAATGTGGTTATGCGAAAGATCCTAGAGTACATGATGCTGAGTGAGATAAACCCTGCACAGAAAGGCAGATACTCTCTTTCAGGAGAATCTCACAATCTCTGCGGACAAAGAGAGAAGAATGAAGGTTACCAGAGACTGAGTGGCAGCAGGAGGGAATGGGGAGTTGCTGGCCAAGGGCACAAGGATTCAGACAGACCAGAAGGTTAAGTTTTGAGAGGTATGACACAACAGGCAGATCATAGTCTACTATAATGGATTGCGAAGAAATGAACAATAAATTTCAAATGTCTTAGCATAGAAGGATAAGGGAAGTAACAGATGTGTTAAATAATTTGAATTAATCCTTCCAAACTGTATCTAGATATTGTTTCTCTTAAATGTATTCCATTATGGCATCAATTTAAAAGCCATTAGTTACAATAAACAAAGAACTACACCAGGAAGTGAAAAGTTTACTTCAGAAAGGCAGACAATATTTGTAAATAAACCGTCTGACAAGAGGCCAATGTTCAGAGTCTGTAAGAAACTCCAAATAGCAAACAGAGAAACAAAAGCAAAGAACCCAGCTGAAATACAGAGGACAAGAGTAGGAAGGTATGGACTTGATAGAAAGTGTGTGCATGGCCAAGAAGCACAGGGAAAGAGGCTCCACTTCACTTCTCAGTCACTGACCAAAGGGAAATCAAAGTCACAATAAAGCGGCACACACATCTCTTAGGATGCATACCATTAAAATCACAGACAGGAAGGAAGAACTTTGGAATATATAAAGAAATTAGTGCTCTGGGGCATCGCTCAATGGGAGGCTTAAATGCAACCATGAGACACGGCACTGTGGGTCCTCAAAAGAGTAGAGAATTGCATTCAACTCAGTAACTGAATCTAGGATTGTAGGGGGTGGGATAGATTACGAGAAGTTTTGGAAACAGACAATGATGGTGTTTACACAGCAATATGAATATACCTTCTGCCATTGAGATGTACTTTTCAGAACTCTACAGTGGCAGATCTAAAAATTAAAGATAATTTCTGTGTATGGGTATTTTGTCTTGTATGTCTCTGCACCACATGCACTCTTGGTATCTGAGGAAGACAATAGAGGATATGAATTTCTTGGAACTGTAATAACACGCGAGATTAACATACATCCCTTACCAAGCTGACTGTATTTGAATCTTGAGCCATGTTTTTCTCCTGGTGACTTTTACACATTTTGGACACTGCTGATAAAGAATTTGCCCCTCCCCTAATACTATGGGGTCAGAAGGGAGGGG